CTCAACCTGCTGGCCACACTCTTTTTAATGCACCCCAGGATACCATTGGCCTTCTTGGCCACCAGGGCACGTTGCTGGCTCATGGGCAACTTGTTGTCCACCAGGACTCCCAGGTCCCTCTCCACAGAGCTGCTCTCCAGGAGGTCAGCCCCCAACCTGTACCAGTGCAGAGGGTTATTCCTCCCCAGGTGCAGGACCCTACACTTGCCCTTGTTGAACTTCATTAGGTTCCTCTCTGCCCAACTCTCCAGCCTGTCCAGGTCTCACTGAATGGTGGCACAGCCTTCTGGTGTGTCAGCCACCCCTCCCAGCTTTGTGTCATCAGCAAACTTGCTGAGGGTTTGTGCTGGGAGGCACAAAACACCCCCATCAGCCAACAAAAGGGTCTCTGTGGCCACCTGAGGACCCCATGGCACAATCTAACAGTGTGCCAGGAGCAAGCGAGAGATATCAAGTGCACCTCTGTGGGGTGAGCCAGCAAGTGTGTCCTGAGCCATGGGCACACATGCACACATCGCCACAGCGATGCTTGCCCAGAGCAGAGCCAGCTGTTGGCCACCAGTCACGAGCCAGCTCCTGCCACAGGAACTGGGCAGCCAGAAAATAAGACCATCCCAGTTCTTCTAGGAGAAGAAACTGGGCCACTGAAGATGCCTGGTGTATCTGGACAGCTCTGGAGCTTCTTGTGGATTATTTACCCTGCTCCGCATGCCGCTGACCAAAATAAATCAATTCAGCTTTTGCTTCCATTTTAGGAAAATAAATCCTCTGGGACGGGATGGGAGCTGGTGCCCTGCGAGGAGCCACGTGCTCACCCAGCCCGGCCCCAGTGGGGTGTAAACCAGTGCTCAGAAACTGCTCAGCCCCACTGGCCCGTGTCCCTGCCTTGCTGAGGGCTGGTGGTGCCGGTGGAGCCCCTGCGGCTTCCTTGGCAGCTCCGGATGCGGCCGAGAGGTTTATTCAGCCTCCTGCTGCCCGGTGAGCTCTCCCAGGGTTGGGTGACCTTATCCTTATCTCTTCGTGTCCTTCGGCCGGTTTGGGCAGCTGGTCTCCCGAGGCTGGTTTCCCATGACGCAGCTCCCTTATCTCCTGGCGCTGCATTCCCAGCCCCGGGCCCTCCCCGTCAGCCCATCGCGGCTCCATGGCCGCAGCACTGGGAATTGCTGGCGTGTGCTGCGGGAGGGATCACCGCTGCAAAGCGGCTAGAAAAAAATCATTCCCAAAAACAAAAAGGCAGCGCAAACCACCTGCATCTCCCTCCAGCTGCCCAGGAGAGCTTTGCCGGGGCTTAGAGCTGAGCTTGCGAGCTCACCGTCCTGAGATGCATCAGGGGCTGCTGGGTCTCCAAGCTGAGCCCCGATACAGCATCTCCTCCCCCCGGAGCCGGCACACTCCTGGCTCCGGCCGCTGCCCGGGCATCAAGGCACATGCTGGCACCGGTGGCAACAAAGGGCTTAATGCAAATTGCCCGGCATCCGACTGCTTAATGACACCAGCCCCTTTCAGATGTGATTGTGTATTTTATCAGAACCGAGTTCTTAGAAAGAAATAAAAAATGAAATCTTTCCAACCTCCCCGCCTCCTCTCCCCCCCCCGGCCGGGGGCACAGCCCCGTGTCCGCAGCATCAGCATTGCTCCGAGAGCGGGGTTTGAAAGGCCTGGTTAGGGTGGCTCCTCCGCCTCCCTCAGCAGTAAAAATCATTTGGCTTTGAATGATGTGGATATTGAGAAGTCTAACGCTGCTCCAGAAGGAAAAATAAAGGAGCACCGGCCTCCGAGTGATTCGGACAGGGCTAGTAGAGAGGTGCCGCTGCGGCTGGGGTGCCCCGTGCAAGATGAATTGCTGATAAACACAATCGTGCCCCATCTTCCCCGGGTGAGTGGGGTCCCAAAATGCGCAGCCCCAGGTCTCGGTCCCTCCCAAGCCCCTCAGCCAGCCCCAGGGTCAGACCCATGGGAAGCCCGCTCCTCCCTGCCCGGGGGATGCTCACCCACAGCCACGTCCAGCACACAGCGTCTCTCTGGTAGAGCCGATATTAAGCTATAAACCTTAATGTGTTATGACACCACCCGGTGCAGTGTAATTGCTATAAACCCATGAAATGTAATGTAATCGGCAGAGTGGCCATTATAGCGTTGTGTTACAGGTCTAATGGCTTCAAGCCGTTACCTCATGCGCAAGCTGAGGATGTGCAAACAGCTCCTGCTCCCCGCTGGCCCCAGCTCTGCAGCACCCCGCTACCCCAGAAAGGCACATTTCCCACCCCATCCTCCTCAGACGCAGGGGGAGATGCTGATGCAGAAATGCCCCAGTGTTTCCAAACTTATTTCTCCATTTGCAGAAATACCAGTAGGGATAGCTTTTTTTAAAAAGCCTCCTTCACTGCAATAATCAGGTCGTACTTAAATGAAAAAAAAAAAAAAAAAAAAAAGCAAATCTCCACTTACAATTATTTCATTAGTATGTGATACTCCAGACAATCCAACAGCTTGAGAAGCCGCTGGCTGCACAGGTCCAAGCACGTTGCCTGGGTAAGAGGTCCTTAGTGCTAATTGCCAGCGCCAGCTTCAGCCATTAAGAAATTACTGCTAATGCATCTTACAACAGTTTTCATAAGGCATTATTAAGGAATTCATCAGAAACCAGAACCAAATAAAAAGAGAAAATGATTAAAGAAAAAAATAATAATCTTCCTCCCAAACTGGAGGATCAGCAGGAGAGAAAGCCGTGAGCCATCCTCCCACTGCAGCAGCTCTCACCTGCGCTGCAGCCCCAAAGCTGAGCCTGGGGGTCCCCTTGCCCCAACCCTGGTGCAGCTGCACCCCGGGGACCTCCCTGTATACCCTGGGGTGGGAGAGGGGCTCAGCTGCAGTTAATTGCCCCTCCTGCAGCCCCTGCAGAGCTGCTGCTGGT